TTTAAACAAACCCAATTTTGAATTTGTAATGATCATTATGAAATCATTACGCAAAGAAATTGTGATTGTGAGTTGAGTAGTATAAGGTAATTAAAATATATTTTTAAAGAAGAAATCAAGCATATGTCATAAAAGGGTGTCGGTATAAATTTGTTGTCACCAGAAAGCGACAACTAGGAATTGTGAAATGGAAATTTAATTGGAGATGGACAGTGGATGGTTACAAAACAGAGTAAGGGTATAGTTTAGTTAGGAAATAAGAGTTGGTTTCCGACTTGACTCTTCAACACCCAATATTAATAGAGGAAAATTTCAATGTGTCAATGGGTAAAGAGAAGGTGTGAAGAGTATGTGAAGAACATGAGAGAATGAGTGTGGAACGTTCGATATAATTAGCACTAGAAGATAGAATTATTATGAAGGTTGAGTAAAATATGAATTCTTTATAATATTGTGATTTGTTTTATAGCAACCTTTTTGTTTGTTTGTATGATGTATTGTTGATTTATATAATAAAAAATAATTTTTTTTTAAATTTTTTTGAATTAATGTTAAAATTTTAATTTAAAAATTTTAATATAGAGATTCAAAATTTTAATTATAAGAATATATTTTAAAGACATGACAGTCAAATTGTTCTTAATTAAATATTACGAAGCTCAAGGGTTAAGGCAATTGCATAGAATGCATAAACTATGATAAATACTAATAGTCGCGGAGTACCACCAGGGTATATTTAACAGAACAGTGCTGAAAAGGGCCGTGGAGGGCAGTGACATTTCAGCTAATGGCATTAAGCTATTTTAGTCAACTGAATCGGAGCTCAATTATTAGAGTTAAATGTGATAGTGACTCGCCCAGCAGCTGCTAGCCGCAATAAACGCTGGCCGTGGACGTGCTATGGTTGGCATCGTTCAAGGCCACTAAAATTATTAAAATTTTAATTATATTAATTTAATTATTAAAAATAATTAATAATTAATAAAATTATTAATATTTATTATTTATTATATTAAAATTAATTTTTAAATAAAAATAAGTCATTTAATATTAAAATTTTTTTATTTAAAATTTTTCATTTTATAATATGAGACAGTTTGAAGAATAAACAGTGGAGCCATTCAGGGAACAAAAACATCAGAACCTTAAGACTGACCCACAGTAGAAGCCAC